TTGGAACCAAAGACACGAAGTGAAGTGTAATCAGGATGAGTGCCCTGAAGTGTAAAATATAGAGTTTCTGAGTTAAGAGCAGAAGAAGGCAAACGATTTATTAGGTAGACAGCAGTGAAAAATGCTTCTACCCATAAAAACAGAGGAGCACCACTATGAAATAACATGGTCATTCCGAGTTCTCGTATTTTCTATGTCGCCTTTCAACCATACCTGTTTGCTCTGGAGTGTATGGACATGATACCTGATGTATAATTCCGGTGGAGAGGAAGTGAGATGATAACTTGGAGTTTATGAATTCTCCTCCTCCATCCAAGTGAAAAAACTTGATTTTTTTGTTAAATTGCCTGTTGACATATTGTTCAAAGGCTAAATAAGCACTTACAAAATCAGATTTATGTTGTAAAGGAATGATCCAAGTATACTTAGAAAAATCATCAACTAAACATGCATAATATCTGAATTTTCCAATAGATAAAATAGGAGCAGGTCCCCACAAATCACAATGAATTTTTTCAAAAATGCTAAAACTTAAATGTTTAGAAGCAAAAAAAGGTAATCTACTAAGTTTCCCTAATTGGCAACTATCACAAATATGTTTGGATTTTACATTGCCAATAACATCAATCAACCCTCTATTTTTTAAAAGCTGTAAAGCAGAGAACTGGGGATGTCCTAAGCGTTGGTGCCAAATGTCTGTGGAGCTGGATTTGAAACGATTAGAAAAATAGAGCTCCGACGAGTTAGGAAGAACATAGAGATCACCCTTGCGTCTACTTGTGATCACTGGTTGTCCTGTTTGTCGTTCCTTTACACAAAAATCAACATTAGTGAATTCACAATTAATAGGAAACTGTGTTGTTAGTTGACTTACGGAGAACAGATTTTTTTTCAAGTGAGGGACTAGCAAGACATCAGGAAGAGGTAAGACTTTATTCTTTTGCTTAATGCTAGAATTTCCAATACCAAGGATTGGTAGAGAAGATCCATCACCAATAAGGACCGAATCTGAACCAGAATAATTTCGAATATTAGTTAACATACCTTGCTTACCTGTCATGTGGTTTGAGGCTCCTGTGTCTGAGGTCCATTCTGTTTCAGCAATTGTGTTGTCCAAGGTAAGTGCAGCCAGTGCTTGTGGTATGTCATCTTGTTGTGTTGGTCTTTTGGGCACCCACCAACATATTTTTGCAATATGTCCTACCATGTCACAATATTGACATTTTTCTTCACAATAGAGGTCTCTTTCGGCAGGTGTCATACGTCGCTCGCCAAGTGGGGGAGGTCGTCTTTGTTGAGTACTTGACGTTGGGTTAGGGGAGTAGCCACGGTTTTGGTCCTTTGGTTGTTGTGCCTGAAATCCTTTTCCTGTTGAAGTGAATTTTTGCTTGTTGCCTTGATATCCTGTGGAGGATTGTTGATATCTTTGTTGTTGTTGTCCGTAGAAGGCCATTTGAGGGGTGAGTGCATGGGTGGCATTTGTATGGTTTGAGAACCAATTTCTTCTTTGATCAAGGCTTTGAAGTTGTGAGACAAGCTCAGAGTATGATGATCTTGGTGGTTTGAGCATGGTAGTAGTAAAAGTTTCATATTGTGGACCAAGACTAGTGAGAAGACAAAATACCTTTTCTTTGTCTGGGACTAGTTTCCCAATTGCTGCAAGACTGTCACATACGCTTTTGAATGTCCGAATATGTTCTCCAATTGTTTTGTCATCCTCTTTTCGAAGATATGTTACTTGTTGCCTAAGTGTGAATTCTTGTTCTTGTGAATTTCTGCATAGGCATTTTTCAGTGCTTCCCAAACGGTATTTGCTGTATCTAAGCCCACGACGAGGCCAAGTGTTTCTTCAGAGAGTGTTCCAATGATCCACCCTTGAAGAAGGCGATCTGCCTTTTGCCATGTGATGTATGCTTCAGTTATTCTTGGTGCAGAAATTTCTGTATTTGAGGTATTATTGGAATCTAGTGTGGTGTATTTAGGTGGGGCAGGATCTTCATTAGTAAGGTGACCAAGCAATTCTTGGCTTTCTGCAAGGGCCAAGGCTTGTTCACGCCACAATGGATAATTTGTGGGGTTGAGTTTGAGAGTTATAAAATTTCCAACATTGAGAGAGAGAGAAGTCATAGTTAGTTGGAGGCTATTTGAGCTATTTGAGATGCTGGGTTGTGCCGTGTTCACTGTGGCTCTGATACCAAGTAGAGAGATTGAAAAGGAGGAAGAAGGATGAGATGAACAAGGTTTTTTGTATTCGTGAACACAGATGGAGATATAATAACCCTTTTTTATTTCTAAGTTACAAAAAATACTGAGGACCACGTCCTCTATTTAAATAAAAAAAAACTGAGATGAGTCCATCTAATGGGTAGCATAAAATCCGAGATACAACTCAGTGAGGATACTCCTACTCCAAGACATGCTCTGTTTTGAAGCCTAAATTTGCTCAATCAATTTGTTGGGATTTCCTTAACTAGTCGAACTACCATTTTCGGGTTGAAGTTGTTGTCATTGATACTCCTTCATCCTTCAACGTCTCTTCACTATTGTAGCATGAATTGTGGGAGTTTCTATCACAGTCCCACAATTCACGTCGAGATGTTGAGTTGTGCCAATAAATGGTGCATCGACACAGCCCAGCAAGGACAAAGCAGAGGAGGGAGCCATGGAAGAAAAGAAAAGTTATTGAGGGAACAAAGAGCATGAACAAACTTTGTACATAAAATCTTTTGCTTCTTCTTTTGCTAACTTTCAGCTAACAACGTGAGAAATGTTGGTGACGACTTGTTTTTCTGTTCATGGTCATCCCAAACATTCAAGGTTTAGCATCTGTATATGTAGGTTTTTTTTTGGGGTTTTGTACAGTTAATGTAACATGCACAGAAGCTTAGGCCATGTAAAGTTTCTTTGCTGTTAGCTTTGTTTTGGATGTTCCTATTTCTTTGAAGTTTTCTTCAGCTGGTGAGCCTTGTGTTTCCATGAGCTGAATTGAACTAGAACCAACTTAAACCCCTAGTTTGATCGTCGACCACAATTTGGCTATTGACAATCGATTTCAGATTTCACATAATGATGTTGTCAAATCTTGATTTCTAGCTTAAACCCCGATGTTTCAACATATTCTAATCTTTGTTATGAAGGTAACTAGTGAAGAATTCACCCAACTACATAGGCTTCATTTTGTTTGTTGCAAAAGAGGCTCGCATTAAGCCCAACAAAGAAACCATATGATTAATTAGTACTAATTATAAATAGATCAAAATAAAATTAGACACACATAACAAGTATTTTATAATTTTTTTAGATAGTATTATATGATATGTTACAGAATTAAATAATTTTTTAATTGATCTAAATATGTATTGAAACCAACATGACTAAAAAATAATACAATCGAAAAATAACACGTTATGACACGATTGACCCTCCTAAATTTGTAACATTTCATTACTTAACTCCAACAAAATGATTGGAATGGATCACAATGTGATTGGGATTGAGTTATAGTGTTTTGATCCATCCTTTGATAAATTTTTTTGGGTTAATTGCAAAATATTATCTTCAAGCTTGAATCTTATTGCAATCGACTACTTCTCGTTTTAAATTAAACAATTTGTCCCTTTAGAGTTTTCATATGGCTAAATTAATTGATTAAGTAGATGAAAATTATAAAATTACTAGAATACCCTCAATCTTTAACGTCATTTGTCTGAAACTCTCTCTCTCTCACACACACATATATATATATTGTACGAAATCTTTATCTCCCTCCCCCTCTCTTGTTCTCCAATTGGATATATACCCACAAAATTTTCATATGGCTATTGTGCTCGATTTCAGTTACATTTGGCGGTGGAAAATTAATGGTAGAAGTTAATTGTAAAATATTTTAAATTTAAGGAAAAAATTATTTAAATTAAAACTACAAAGAGTTGATTGTAACACGATTCAAATATGAAGGGGGCATTATTTAATTAACTTTTTTTTTGTTATTGTTTTCTTATTTGTTCATTATCTGTTTTGTATCAGTTACTCAATCATAAGTCACATAAAAAAGTGCAAACTTAATGATAAATTATTATAATTATTTTTTAATATGGTAGACTTAAGTTTTGAGGGATGAAATTAATATATATATATATATATATATGTGGTTTGGGTTTCAAATAAAGGAGTTGACTACGGTACCTAATTTTTTTTCGATGTCATACATTTATTTATCATATTTGTAGTTGTTTTTGTTACTATTGTATTATCCAAAAAATGATAAAAATAGTTAATACAATAATGATAAAAATACTTATAAATGTGATAAAATACTTAAAAAACAATAATTTTTTTTTATATGGAAGAAAAGTGGAAAAAATAGTTATTACAAATAGTAAAAACATCCACAACATTGATAAAAATATTTATAAAAGTTATAAATTACCCATGAAAGTGATATATTTTTTAATTGTAAAATAACCTGTAAAAATTATAAAAAATCTTTTAAGATAATAAATTTTAGAGTTATAGGACCACTCTTTTATCGATGCAGTAGTGAAATCCTTAAAAAAATTATTTATCCATTTTTTTTTTACTTTCTTGAAACTACTACTCTCTCTCTCTCTCTATATGCTGTTAAAAAATTAACAGGTGCTGTTAATTAAAATTGCATCATTTTAACACGAAAACGACGTCATTTTAATAAATAGAACAATGCCATTTTGACCACAATCGCTCTAGCCGGACCCCTCACGCACGCACGCACGCACGCACGCACGCACACGGCTACGCACTGACCAACGTCTTCCTCACGCGGACTTCGAAGACCTTTCCCCAACAACAAAAAAATCCATTTAACATCTAAACGATCATTTCATTCATGAAACTTGATTTCCTTCATAGAATCAGCTTCCACTATCTCCTCAATCCCAGAAAAATCCCCAATTTATAGGTTTTCCAATTCCATACAATCGATGCATACACAAATATAAATATAGATATTTATATATGCAACGATGTATAGCAATTTCAAAGAACAAGCGATCGAGTACGTGAAGCAAGCCGTACAGGAAGACAATGCCGGGAATTACGCCAAGGCCTTTCCTCTGTACACGAACGCTTTGGAGTACTTCAAAACCCACTTGAAGTACGAGAAAAATCCTAAAATCAGAGAGGCAATTACCCAGAAATTCACCGAGTATTTGCGCCGTGCGGAGGAGATTCGGAAGGTGTTGGACGAGGGCGGGGCGGGGCAGGGGAGTAATGGAGATGCGGCGGTGGCGACGAGGCCGAAGACGAAGCCTAAGGATGGTGGGGAGGGCGGAGATGGGGAGGATCCGGAGCAGGTGAAGCTGAGGGCGGGGTTGAATTCTGCTATTATTAGGGAGAAGCCGAATATCAAGTGGAATGATGTTGCGGGGCTTGAGAGCGCGAAGCAGTCGTTGCAGGAGGCGGTTATTTTGCCTGTGAAATTCCCGCAGTTCTTCACTGGTGAGAAAAATTTTGGTTCTGTTTCAAATTTTAATACAATTGAGTTGTTCACTTTGTAAATCGATTGATATGATTGTGCTTGCTATTTCTTTTTGGGCAAAGTTGATCTTGTTTTGTGATAATTTGACTGGTTTTGGACTTGAGTTTTGTGGGCTTAAATTAGTTGACTTACTTAAATTAGTTGAAGCTGTTGTAAGGCTACTGCTTAACATGATTCATGGTCAAATGTTGTCATTGGTTTGTTTGCTTTATGAGTTTGATTGATTTTGTTTGTAGTTTTTCAGTAGTCTATATGATTGTTTTTCTTTTAGTTTGCTATGAACAAACTGATTTTGAAGTTAGAATAATTTGGGTTTGCTTGGATTCGCCGTAAGTGATCCAACCCTTTTTTATGTAATTTGTTGGGAAAGAGTAGAATTTGAAGTTGTTAAAGTTTGTGGCCTATTTAAATCCTAAGCCATGTAATTGTCTAGTTGATTAATGTGGGTATTCTAGAAGTAGTTGAAAGTGATGGAAGGATAGTCTAATTTGGATTGACAAAGAGTTCGAGTTCAAAGGGTATGAAATTATGTGTGGTACAAATAGTTGGTATTCTTGAAGGATTTGTTAAGATACGTGTACCACATGAAATTGTATATAGGTGTTTTTGTTGTATAATTCTAAACCGAGATTTTTAGTGAAGTATTAAAAGGATGGATTTTTTGTTGTATAATTCTAAACCAGCTCCATAGTTGACTTGTTTTTGAGCAGCCTCAAGGAAAATGTGCACTTATGTGCCACAAATTATTGAGTTTGGTCTTTCTCTAGCAGTGCTTGTTTTTTCAACAAACACAAATTGTTGCCTCAAGATGTCAAACTTGTTTACGGTTATTTCCCTAGAGTTGAGAAAGAAAATAAAAATGGAAATTCATCTTGTTCAATTGACCATATATACTAGATATATACCGAAATTTAGCTCACTAAATTGATCACATCCGACCCAATTACAAGGTTTCTTCTATTCTATTATGTACTTGTGGGGTTCACCTGAGCTTAGATAAGCATTTGTCGCTCTCTAAATTTGAAAATCCTCAACATTTTGGCCTCATGGAGCTGTAATATTGTTGTGAATTGTGTTTTGGTATGAACATTCCATAACATGATACACTTTCCTTTTAGAATACTATGTTTAAAATGTAAATTTTTTTTAACATCCTTTCATTGCTTTTGTATTTGGGGAACAATGTGTAAGATAATGAGCTCAAATTAACAAGTCATCTTTTTAGATGAAATGGCGGAAAATCCATAGAAATCCACAACAATGGTTTAACTTATATTGGTTGCACTACTTATATTTTCCAAAGAAAACTAATATTGTATCTATAAACGCCTAAAAACAACTATGAATTGATATAAGCCTTCCCATATTATATTACGTTTTAGACCAAGTGGCGTGACACATTCCCATTCCTGTTCTCAGTACTGGAATGTTTCGCATTTTAATAATATTGGGCTTTCCATTGTAAGAAGGATGGAATACTATTGTCATATGAAGGATGTTGCAGAACATGACCGTGGACATTTAAACAATCATCCTTCATTATTGAACCAGCAAAGGTTTCTCAAAATAAGTTTAAGTAATGCCAAAAAACAATTGTAGCAAAATAAGTATAATGGAAAGTGTATACCATTCAAATTCTGAGTTCAATTTCTGTGGTATCATCCATTGTTTCCATCCTTGCCACATCTGACCCCCAAAGGACCTTTTCTGTTTTAAAACAGTAGTAGCTCAACATTCCTTGTCGTTTTATTTCAGAGAATAATAAGCTTTATGTGGCAAAATTGCACCGTCTTTCTGGGGCGGAATAATTATCACGTTCATTTTGGGGCTAATGTGAAACTGTTCTTTGATTTTCTCCATTGTGGGGCTACTTATCTGCTGTAACAAGCCAATTTTAGTTGGAACTAACATATAGTTTGCATCTTCATTATTGCTATCTAGATATGATCTGCTTAGCATGAGATATCATAACATATGCTTTTCTTCTGTCGTAGTTTTGGTGTGTCAATTTGTTTTGTGAAGTTCTTGTCATTTTTTTCTTCTATTGTACTAGATAGATCGATTATACAATTATAGATCTAGTTGTAGAATAATTCTTGCAATCAATCCAAAGAAAAAAAAATCTTTCTTTATTTTTAAATGGAGCTATTGTTAGGCCATTTCAGATGAAGATTCTTGTTTAAAATAGGAGGATTTGGAAGCCGGTACAATTTTTTAGCCTTATTTGGGCAAAAATACAACTCAAAAACTTATTTGGGGTAAAGTGCATATTTTTAAAAAATGACACTATTGTCATTCAGTGTACAGCAGATGGATGGAAACCCTTTTGTATTCCTTCCCTTTTTTTTGCTACAATCAAGTAATGGGAGCTACAATAGGGGCATATTTTCTCTAACAGTTTCTCTCTATCCCTATTTTCTCTTACTTTATTTATATTAATATTATAACAACACAATTACATTAATCAGTTACAATTGTCCTATAAAACACCAAACAGTTACTCATGCGTTCTAATAAACAACCCAATTACACAAAACAATTATACAAAATTATGACACCAACCCAATTTGTTATTCAGTTGTTTACACAAACTAAATAGTTACACCATTTAGTATCGCGACATTGTTACACCATCATGCATTAACAATTGCATGAAACTGTGATTGTTACACTCATTGAAAAAATAGTTAAACATTACACCCATTAAAAAAATAGTTACACCCATTAAAAAACAATTACACCCATTAAAAAAAAAAACAAAGAATTTCTTTTTTCCCTACATCCCAACAACGAACAATACATAATATCTAACAAAACATCTTGGTCAATTCTCTTTTTTTTTTTTTTTTTTTTAAACAGTTACACAAAATAATTATACAAAATTATTACACAAATCTAATTTGTCATTTAGTTGTTTATATAAACTAAATAGTTGTATCATTTAGTATCGTGACTTCGTTACACCATCATGTCTTAACAATTACATGAGACTGTAATTGTTATACCTATTAAAAAAATAGTTACACCTATTAAACAACAGTTATACCAATTAAAAAAAATAGGTACATCCATTAAAAAATAGTTACACACCCATTAAAAAAATAAATAAAGAATTTCTTTTTTCCACACATCCCAACAACGAACAATGCATAAATCTAACAAAACATTTTGGCTAATTCTTTTTTTTTTTTTTTGGAAAAATTCAGGGTTTTATTAATCATCATAGTAAAGAACTTTATTCTTTTTGGTTAGATGATGTGGAAGCGAGGTTGGTGGCATGAGACGGCATATATATATATATATATATGTTTCACTTATACTTTGCCCCCATACTCCATCTTCATCTTCTAGCACGAATATCTCTGCTTTTGCTCTCTGTCGCTCTCGGCAAATTCCTATTTTACCTTCCATTACTATTGTTAATCTTTACATATTTGTTTTCTCAAATAACTGTCAATGATGACTGCATAATTTAAGGGAGGGTGTTTAGGTAAAAATTTTTTTAATTCATTTGAATTTTGTACCTAAACACAAAAAGTTTTATAAAAATTGTACTTAATAGAGTAAACAAATTATTCATACACTTTTGCTCAAATAAGTCTAAAAAATTATACCCACACCCAAAAAACCCTTTAAAATATCAGATAAGAGAGACAGATTAAGTATTTAACCTGATTATAATTACCAATGGGTCTTTGGTCTAATGGTACTCCTTATCTTGTGAAGGCTTTGTCTCCTTGAGGTCAAGAGCTCAAGTCTCCCTACCCTCCCCCCCAAAAAAAAAAAAAAAAACAAAAAATCCAAATTATGACTAAGGAGCCTAGATCCTTATAAAAGCCTATGTGATATCTGTTTTCTATCTTATTTATATCATTTTACTACGTTTCAACCTGTTGAAGCATTTCAATTGTAACAGATACAAAAAGATTTCTCTGTAAGCCTTAAGGTCTGCACCAGTGTTACATGAATTCGCTCAAAACTGTACGACACCCGATCTGGTTCACATGACCCCAAACGGGATACGCTTGCGACCTGGATCAACAAATTTCACACCCAAACCAAAACCCTAACCCCAAGTCACCCTAAACACAAACTGTTCCCAAATAAAGAAGGAGAAAGAAGAAAAAATCAAGAGTTACACAAGTAATTTTCATAAGAGCGAAATTGAGTGAAGCTACAGGTCTGGATCGAACTAGGTGCCGACAACAAACAATGCTTCTTTCTTCTCTTAGTTTCGAATTGAGTGGCGTGGGACTCCAAATCAGATCTTGAGTTGTTGGATTCCGAAGTGTGAAGTAGGCTTGATTCTGAAGCATTGGTAAAGGTGTACAGTCTCCTCATTCTTATCAAAGAGACTGTTTTGTTGAAAAGTCAAAACAATTCCCGCTAGTTCATATTACCTCAGTGTAAAGGTGGTTTATGGGTTGGATAAAAAAGTCAAAAAAATACCCTACATTATATTAAGCAGTCATATAGTCACCTCATCCTCTAATCCAATGAAAGTGTACTAGTGAAAAATTAAAACTATCCCCCTAGGTTATATTACTTCAGCAAATGGGTTGTTACTAGCTGGATAAAAAGTTAAAAAAATACACTAGGATATATTAAGCTGCAATGCAGCCCCATGAATGGGAACCCTGTAAATTCAACTTTGTTAAACTCCATATATCTAAAATATTAGTGAAAGTGATCAAAAACTGAAAATAAGTATTAATTAGTTATGCATAATTTCTTATAATAGTGAAAACGACCTAGAGAAAAGTTCTAAAACGAACTGACATACAAAAAAGGAGAGAAAGTAACGTAACATGTACTGAGACCGTACCATGTGCCCTATCGGCCCACGATCCACGTATCCTTGGTCCACACCTTTGTTTTGATAGGTAAACATGTTATGGTTTGCACTTAACTTGACGATGAGAAAGAAAATAAATCGCTTTTGGTATTCTTAAACCTTGTCTTTGGATATGTAACTGTAGTAAAATAAAACTCAAAACCCGAAGAAGCTTCAACATATTGAGGCTTATAGTTATGCCTGGCATCACAGCACGACCTCTCTTATGCTTCCACTTTTTAAATCTGAAGACTTTTGTCCGCAGAAAAGAGGCTCCACGACTGGCAGCAATTGTGCAGTTAATCTTACCGTGCAAGATAGTGAATAAAGCTGATTTGAAGGATTCTAGTGGAGAATTGCTGCGAAACATTGTAGTATACTTTCTGAAGGAGAAGTTCTAAATCTGAGTTGTTGGCAGTTGGCAGATTTGTTGTGGTCTACGATGATGTTTTATGTTTAGAAGAGACTGCAAAATTTTTCTGTATTCTGTTTGTGCTAATTTATTTGCTCATTCCATCTCGTCATATGATTGAAAGCATGTTGCATTGTCTAAATGTGGTTCCATCTTATAACTGATAAATATTCATATTGGTGTTTTTAGGCAAGAGGCAGCCATGGAGAGCTTTTCTTTTATATGGCCCCCCTGGAACGGGGAAGTCATACTTAGCCAAAGCAGTTGCAACTGAAGCTGACTCGACATTTTTTAGGTAAGTTATGTATCATCATATATCCAACTATTTGTTGAAATGCATCCCTTGATCTTCTTTTACTGGTCATGTTTTATGTACATTAATGCTTTTTTATGCCAATGTTTGTGATTATTAGTGTGTGCTAAACAGTTTTCATGTTTTTGTTTTCCTTTGTTGTTTCATCACTATCATTCAATGTTTTTGCCTTTTGGAGGTCTGAGACTAGAGTCTTTTGAAGATCTGGGCATTTACCTGCCAAGGCATTCGTTAAGGATGTGTAGAGGGCATCATGCTTAAAATTTGTTCCATTGATTGCCTGATATATATATTCATGTTTTGGTTGGACATTTGACATTAGATTAGTTCGTCCCGCTAACCTTGAGGTTGTGGGTTTGAGTTTGAGAGTAGTCACTTTGTGCAGCTAATACCAAAGATTAAGTCTGTACCCAATATACTCCTCCCAGATCCCGCGTTAATGGAAACTAAATTGGGTGTTAGCTTTTGTATAGTTGCCTGTAACAGATACGCCATCCTTCTCTTCAGTAAAGCTTTGACAGTTTGTATTTGCCCAGTTACTGCATGGGGTTTTTTTGCTCTTAATAATTGTTATTAAGTGTCCCTTTTAACCTTCATGTGCAAAATATTTGGTCATACAATTACAGCCAACTTAAGATCCTCTAACAGGGCCATGGTTATGGTGTTTCTGACTAGGTCTATGGATAGCAGTTGACAGGATGCTTAAAATGGTTCTCCCTGCTGGCATTATATATCCAGAATTTATAGGTTGGGTTTGTTTGAAGGCACTTGGGGAATTTGATTATGGGATGTTCAATTATTTTGCAAATTTCATTCATGACAGGAACAGATGCAGATATAAAAATTTAATGGACATAATTTGTAGGGAGTTTGCTTTTCTGTGAAGCTGTCATTGTACAGTTATGACCTCCCTCTGTGCCTCCTTGTCTGTGATACATTATGCTTGATGAGCTTCCATTTAAATGCGTGCTTTATCATAATGTTCATGGGCGCTCTTGATTTTCCAATTCATACACAAAATTTTAACTATGCTCCATCTTATTTGGCAACATATTGGGATTATTTTCTTGGTAAATATTGTTCTGGATTGTCTGTAGGTCACACATACACATTTATATATCATAAACAAGAACTTAGGCCAATAAGTTGGCAAGTGCCAACTGCTGGTTTTGTGCAGTGTTTCATCTTCAGACCTGGTTTCAAAGTGGATGGGTGAAAGTGAAAAGCTAGTCTCGAACCTTTTCGAAATGGCTCGTGAAAGTGCTCCTTCCATCATCTTCGTTGATGAAATAGATTCCTTATGTGGTCAGCGTGGAGAAGGCAATGAGAGTGAAGCTTCAAGACGTATCAAAACAGAACTACTTGTGCAGATGCAGGTAGTTGCTTGTATAGGCATTGTCTTGCTTTCTTTGCATCACAATATACATATATGTCTAGGAAATAATAAATTGCCTTTTTCCCTTGTCCATCTGCAACATGCTCTATAACCAAGTTTGGCAATTGGTATTTGCAATGAACTTATGATTTGGGTGCAGAGGATTACCATTTTTAGTTCCTACACTTTCCAAAGGATAAAGAGAGCTGGGCTGGTTGTAGGATCTTTTTTGGCCTTGCTTATCATTTGTAAAAAATCAATTGTGGCCTTGAAATTCATTCTTACAGATATTATTAGCCTGACTGTAAAGGATTGTGTGCTTGTAAATGGTGACGTGCTTGGGTGTGCTGTTGTCTTCTCAACTCTCTATCTTTCCCTATGGTCAAAATCCTGGTATGGCACCCTAAATATCGAGGTTTGCCTCTGGTCAAACAGCCTATAATTGTAGGATCAAGTTAGTGAAGTTATGAAGGTGTCTTCCTCTCAAAACATGAATCTTTTCTCACAAGGTGTTGTACTTTCAAATCGAACCTTTTTTCAACCTATCATGCAATTTTTTTGGGTACTTATGTGCTTGTTTAATGTGGTGATGACTGCAAGTGGGACTGGGATGATGAGAAGATTGGTTCTTCTGCTGGGAGATAAGGAAAAGGAACAATTAGAAAAGTGGCCCCTGAGGATTGGGATCCAAGTCGTAACCTGAACCAAAATGCTTTCAAATATTGCTACACATATTTGGTGAAAGTGACAATTGGTGATACTTGAAGGGAAGGATTTTAATCTACCTTGGCCCTTTGAATCAAATTAGTTAACTACTCAATATTTAATTCCTAAAACAGTGTGTTTTGTTGAGAACAAAACTTTTCACAGTTTCTGGAAAATAAACTGATCAGTTCTTTGTTAGGAGCTGGCCACTTCTACATTAATGTACTGTTCAGTTTATGATCCTTAGAATATTTTATATAAACCAATAACTATTTTAATTGAAGACTCCTGTCCATTTGAAGTTTGGGAGTTATAACATGTTATAAGAATTATTAGGTCATTTTAATAGAGAGAAATCAGTGAGCAGTTTTCTTGAAAAAAAAAAAAAATTTACTGGTTACTTAAAGTAACTACAGTGTGAGTATTTAGAAATACTGTTTGCTGGCTTAGTTCTATTACTGTTTCATATGAAAAACAGGTGATTTTTAAATTGAAATTCCTAGTGTTGAAGTGGGCCTTATCATTCCCAATTCCAACTTTCAGGGAGTTGGACACAACGATGATAAAGTACTTGTTCTGGCAGCAACTAATACTCCCTATGCTCTGGATCAGGTAAAGGGAATGCAATTTCAGGTTAGTGATGCCATTATAACTGTGTGGCTAAAATCTGAAGACTGTTGCAGGCTATTCGACGACGATTTGACAAGCGAATATACATTCCCCTCCCAGATTTGAAGGCACGGCAGCACATGTTCAAAGTATGAAACTTAGCGTTTCTCTTTCTCCCTCTGTGTGTGTGTGTGTGTGTTAAAAAAGAATAAATATTCTTGATCAAGATCATTTTCTCTGTATTGCTGTATAGATTTGTAACATTCTAATTTCTGTGGCTCATTAAACTTGTGCAGGTGCATTTGGGAGATACGCCTCATAACTTGACTGAAAGTGACTTTGAAAACTTGGCACGGAAGACAGAAGGGTTTTCTGGTTCAGATATTTCTGTTTGCGTAAGTGCAGTGGTCAATGAGATGCTTTTCAGTATTATCTATCAAATTCCCTCAGTAGCCAGCCTTGCATTGGTGGAAAATTTAGCTTCTTGTCACTCTCTCTCACACTTATTTTTATCTTCGGCTTTGATAGGTCAAAGATGTACTCTTTGAGCCTGTTCGGAAAACTCAAGATGCAATGTACTTCACTAAGAATTCTGATGGTACGTGGACTCCTTGCGGACCCAAGAAATCAGGTGCTGTTCAGATCTCCATGCAGGAGCTTGCTGAACAGGGGGTTGCTTCACAGGTAGTGATTGAGTCTGCAGATACAAATCTGTATATTTATGCTTCTGTCCTGATTTAATCTGCATAGTCCCTGGCTGATACTATACTTTTTTGTGTAAAAAATTTAGCTGTGCTAACATGCCATTTCGTGAAAAGGAATTGATCCAGTTTCACTAGCCATGTAAATTGAAAACCGCATGCCTCAGAATAAAATCATCAAGTAGAGCAATGGTTGACAATGGGAATGAATGCATGACAAAGGAAATAAAATGTCATGTCAATTTCATTAATTGACTTTCTTTTAGTAACATTGGACAAGTAATGCAAATGTTATGAGAACAATGTTTATATCTAATGCTTGGGCATTAAGTCTTTTTCATCAAAAGTTATTCAGACCGACTGAGTGTTTCTTGCTGCTGATTGTGGGTGTGCAGATTATTCCGCCTCCCATCGCAAAAACAGACTTTGATAAGGTGCTTGCAAGACAAAGACCGACGGTGAGCAAGTCCGACCTTGAGGTGCATGAAAGATTCACAGAGGAGTTTGGAGAGGAGGGTTGAGGAAATGGATACGCAATGAGACACAACTATTTGTGTAATTGCTCATCTGTATTCTATATCTGTTGCTGCTGGATTTGGAGATACGCGTTGTTCTATTTAAGCTTCTTCAAGTGAGAAGGTGACATGACTTTCTCTTCTTTTTCTCTTTTTTTTTTTTCCTGTATTGAACCGGGAACTTTCCTAATTACCTGTTTTGATTAATGTAAAGAAGACCATTGAGAAGAGTCTGTAAGAATGATGAACATGGTATATAGGTCTGAAATGCTAATTGCTGCTTGTCTGGCCTGTTATTGACAGTTATTAGTTTTTTTTTTTTGCTTTTGGGTTAAATACAATTATAATTCCATCATGCAAAAAAATTTGTATGCAGATTTTTTTCACAAGCAATACTATGTGCAACAAAACTTGCACCAAATCAATTATAGTCGTTGGATCAGAGGATCCCATCATTGATCCAACAATTGTTATTGATTTGGTGTAAGTTTTGGTGCACATAGACTTTTTTTTTTTTACTTTGTAATTTCAAGGAAAAGGCATCTAGTTCGAATTAATATGTTTGATTATTATCTTACAAAAGTGCTAAATATCTATATAATAAATAACACGGGAAATTGAATTTTATTCTCTACATATTTTTTCCTCAATTTCATCACATCACCCATCTTAGAAAATGTTTAGTTATTTAATATTTAATTAATTTATACTTTAACATAATTTTTATTTTAGATATTATTTATATATGATAGTATATATATTTTGAGAAAATTTTATTGAATTATGTATTTTGAGAAAATTTTGTCAATATTTTTAAGAAAATAATGAATAAAAATAATTTTAAATGATATAATTAAATAAATAAAAGAAAAAAATTATTATTTAATATAGTGGAATCGATTTTTTGGCCACTTGAATTTTATGTTTTTTTGTGTTTTCAGGCACGAGAGATGACTAGTATATATATAAATACATAAATAATGCAATTATATGTGTATAACTACATGATTATGGAGAACGGGAGCAAGTTTGAACTAGAAAAAAATCTGATCCCCCCAAAAAAAAAAATGAAATAGAAAAAAATAAATACAGAAGAAACAAGACTTGGAAAAATTATTTAAAAAGATACTTACAAAAAGCTATCAAACTAGCTTGTAGTTATTGTCATGGTGGTGAAATGTAAATTTTGGTCACTGTCGATTGTTTTTGGTTGGAAACCGGGTAAAAGCAAAGTAGTAATGACTAAAATTTTGTTTCGGTGTATAATTTTGTGTACTTAAGAAATGTGCAAAATTTGGGATATCTTTTGAAAAAAAATCTCAAGCGAAATAGAATAGAGAAAATAATTTGGGAATTATTTCAAAATATTGGTTAAAATTTATCAAAATATTTTAAAACACATCGAAAACATTGTGAACCACCTTGAAACATGAGTATTTTAATTTTCAGTCCCCGATTTATTTTTTATTTTTATGGAACGGGAAATGTTTCCGCCATTTCGGTAAATAAAGAAACGAAAATTTCATCCTTGCAAATTGATCGCTTTGAGAGCTCATACACCACACAACCTTTACCGGCAGTATTCAATACAACATCGAAGGAAAAGAAAATTTGCATGGCAGAAACCATCTCCATAGACTAGTGTCATGCGTCAACCTCCGGTCTTCAATTAAGAAAAAAAGGTTGTACCAAGTGCACAAACCTCCGTTGATAATGGTGTCTTAGATGAGCGGTAAACTTGGACATTATGAGTTTAAATTTTGACAACTCATTGAGACTAGATTATGAAGGATTTATCCCTCGTAAATACCCTAATTTCAAAGTGGATAGCCTGTCTTTGACCGGATCAGAGAGAAGATTAATTGAAATGTGCGTAAGCTGACTTAGACACTCCTGATTGTTGAACAAAAAAACAAAAGAAGAAGAAAAAGGGGTCTTAGTCTAATTTCTCATTAGTTTCATAAAATTTGTTTCAGTTTTATAAAATTTACTTAGGCACTTATATGTTCTTGCATGGGTAATTAAATACTTTGTGTGCTGCACTAATTTTTGCAACCTAAAATACTGGTTTTTACGAGATGGATTCTAGGTCAATTTTTTTTCTTCGGTCAACTCGGAACCCAAAGCGTTTTAGCAATATTGAAGAAAGAAAGAAAATAGAGAAAAAAAAAACTAAAAAATTTATTTCTGAATCATTGGTCAAAGCCTCTCAAACACGTTGTCCGAGCTGATTGGTTAGACATTGACTACTTCACTTATTAGATTAGTATTAGCCATCTATCCCTTAATGATATGAAATAAAAAAGAACGCGAAGTGCTATCACCATAAGATCGGTTTTTTTTTTTTTTTGGGGAGAAAATAAGCTTACTTCTTCACAAGCTTATTCCCGCCCTGACCGGCGGTTGTTGGGTCTCCCCTTCTCTCTTAAACTTTCCCCCGTTGTCTTTTGCCCGAGCTGTATGGTATAGAAACTCGTCCCATGTTTGGTTCGGAGGCTGAGCCCTTTGGTCCTTTAAGTGGAATCGAAATAAAACTTCGATCCTTAACTTTGTGACTTGAGATAAAAAACAATGCAATTAGAGTCTAACACGTAATTTGATGGCAGGATTGGAATTCAACATTACCTTAAAAATTCAGCCGAAAATGGCATATTTCAGGTCCTTTTTGCCATGACAAACAGATGGTGGCAAAAGAAAACAGCGACAAACACATTGATGTAGAAGGATACCTTCTATACTTTGTTTGATGTTTTAAAATAAGTGCCCTAGAAGAAAATGATGGAGTAAGATACCATTTTGGCCAATATAAAAATGTGCAAAACTCTTACATTACTCAATTGAAGAAAAGTAATTCTATGAATCCACATTTGGGCAACAATCGGTACTCTAACTCCGACTTATAGCTGTTAATATCCGCCATCTTATATGTATCTTCTTAGTTTTTTAGTGAAAATCTAGTAAGTTTCGCTTAGTTTCGTACACCCACTCAAAATGGTTACTAGACAATCTTAGATCTTTACTAATAAAAAAATCAAATTGCTTATCTGTTGTAGCATTTTAGCCCAGACGTTATGGAAGAACTGCCGTAAAAAGATTCTTCGCATATTATATGTAGCAAAATTATGAACGGGAGTTGACAATCCGGACCGTATTGAAAAGGTTTCTCAACATGGTATGACATGAGCAAGATTATTTTTTACGCGTATTATGCTACTGTTCCAATACTATATTGAAATTGATCTGTAACCATAGATTTTAGTTTAAATCATTTTGTAATTATTGGTTGAAAAAATAAAAAAAAAGTAATAACAAATAATAAAATAAAAAAGGATATGTATCATATATTTGTTGGCCGAAAAATAGAGATATAATATCTAAAAATTGCGTTTTAGTCTCTTGGTTGGATTCATCTATATATACTATAGCATGTCACCATCCAAGTACAATTATGCCCTTTGATTAGGCTCCTCTTTTTTACTAATCTTGAAATTAGAGTGGAACTACATATCACAAGTCTAACTATTGGACCATGCACTTCTATTTTTTGAAAATATGCTATAGACCAACTTAAATTACAGTGGTCAGTCGTTGAATTTGACAGAGTAATCAGTACAAACTTAAATACTCTTTAACAAAATAAAAAATAAAAAATGGTAAGAATCATAATCAAAAACCAATTCAAGCCCGCTTAAAACTTCCAAGTTCCTACCATAACAGTGGAAACTGTCAATGTCAACATGGTCTTCTTCATTTGAATATTCTTACCCCCCAGGTGCAGAGCCAGACTTCTTGGGCAACTTAAAATGTAATAATAATGTTTAATTTTTTTACAAAAAATAACTGTATAAAAGAATAATTTAAAAAAATTAGAAAAGAAAATTTCAATAACGACCATCTGAATATACCCATCTCTCATAATTAAATTTTTTTATGTACTATTCATTATCCATTTTCTAAGAGATTAATCATTGTGCATAATATTCCAAAGAAATTGATACACAATCGGATTGAGTTATTATATTTCAATTCAAAAACAAATTATAAAAGCCCAAATGCCTATTGTTAACCAAAAAAAAAAGTAGTAATAATACAAACGCTAATTATAGTGGCAAAAAAAATGTAAAAGTTGACGAAATCAAAGAAATCGTTTATGTATTATCTCTTACAAAAACTCTGATAAAATCTCAAAAACTCTCATTTTCTTTACTTTTTATTCAATTATTTGTTTGGACGATCTAACAGACTCATTTATCGTCCAAATCTACTAAGGTTAAATACTTCCCCAATTCCATGTTAATTTTGTAACATATTGGCCATTTGTGAGCATTACGAATAGTTAGAGATGTTTATCCAAATAAAAAAAATAGAAGCCATTGACAAAAAGTGATCAAGTTTAACCCAAATCAACTCTTTTTGGTGTATCCCTTAATATAACCATCCATGCAATTTTAGTTGGAGTTAATCAAATTTTGGTTTCATTTGATATGTTGGATTCAAGAGGAAAGTCGTATACGGCTAAGATGACTTTGTTTCAATTGATATGTTGGATTCAATAGTTGGGCAGAGTAATCAAATTGACTAGTGGCCGGCCGACACATGAGCTATACTCAACCTGCATGTCTACCAAAATACAAAACGGTAGAGACCAACCCACATTTAATATACGTAAATACCCCTAAATTTGCTAAAAAATTTCAATGGGGGCAATATCCAAATAGTTTAAAAATTCTAAATACATCCCAAAGGTTTTTAAAATTGCAGTGGGGACAGCTGCCACCACTGTAGATCCGCCCCTGCTTATCCCATGGACCTTTTTGGTGTTTTGGTCTTTAGCCGAAGTAATGTCAACAAAGCAAGCATTTAGAGCCTGCACTTTTCTAAGCAGTCCGACCTTTATTGATACCTAAGTTGGAATTTCTTCAACTATAAAAGGGATTTGTCTCCAACGTCAAAATGTCACAACCATTTACACTTGAAAACTATACATATTTTCTTTTTCTATCATTTGCTAAGTGATGATGCACAAAAATATTTTTGCACACCATCTGTCAGGTGTAGGTAATAAATGCAGTGAAATCAATGAAAAAATTAAAGAAGACACGATTTATAGTGGTTCGGTCAATTCGACTTACGTCCACTCTTCAATGACTTCAGTTGCCGGGTATTTTATTAATTCAGAGGTATGGAGAATAGAGATACAAGCTTTGCGAGAATGGAGAATCAAAGAAGGAGTGGTCTCTGGTCGTCGGTCTGTCCTCTGTAAGTGTTAGTGGGGCGTGAC